GCAGATTCAGGCATAGCAGAGTCCGCACCTGAGCGTTGATTCCTTCCAGACCAGGCAGTGATTTGGAGATACGAGGTAGCTGTTGACGTCCGCAGCCCCTTGTCTCCCCTATCTTATATCATTTATGTTTTCTTCAGACTATTGTATCGGATATTACTCTTTGTAGACTGATAGCAAACTCTATAGCTCATGACTTGTGACACCCCGGTTTGGGTTCTGTCGGGATGGTTTCCTTTGTTTTATCACTGATTCTGCATTAATGACTATATTAAGCATGTGTTAGAACTGTTAATATTAATTAATTGCTTTGAAAGAGGTGTTGCGTTGTTCTGGATGGCCTTGTCTCCACGAGAGGCGCCATCACGACCGGGTTTGGGAATTGGGTCGTGACAATTACCTGCAATAATCCTTTTCTCGGCCGAAGAGTTATTTTCATCAAATATAACATGTACAGATTCTTTCACACATAATGTGCATTTATTATAGACTATAAAAGATATATTTTTCAATGAATAACCTAGAAAAATACCTTCATCACTTCTTGGATCGAATTTTCCAAGATTGTCCTTACCATTATTGTGAATGAAACACTTACTTCCAAAGGGATAAAAATAACTAATATTAGGATGTTTACCTTTCCATAGTTCATAAGGTGTTTTCTTCAGAATAGGCCTTATGAGACATCGGTTGAGAATGATACATGATGTACTTACTCCTTCTGCCCAGAAATGATTTGATAGTGAATGTTCTAGTATCATAGTCCTTGCAATATCTTGCAGGGTTCTATTTTTCCTTTCAACGACTCCATTCTGTTGGGGTGATCTTGGTGCAGAGAAATTATGAGTATATCCTTGATCATTACAGAAGTCTTCAAATGCTCTGCTTTTAAATTCTCCTCCATGATCACGTTGAATTGTTGTAATCAGATACCCCTTTTCTCGTTCAACCTTCTTACAGAAAATCTCAAAAAATTTCAACGCTTCATCTTTATGAGATAAGAAAATCACCCAAGTAAAACGTGAGTAATCATCAACAATAACAAAAGCATATCATTTTCCTCCTATGCTAGTAGTTCTAGTAGGCCCAAATAAATCCATATGAAGCAGTTACAAAGGCTTAGAGGTAGATATAATATCCTTGTTTTTAAAAGAGTTTCTAGTTTTTTTTCCAATTTGACAAGCATCAAATATATGATTTCTGGAGAAATTTAGTTTGGGTAAACCAATAACTAACTCATGCTTAGAGAGTTTTCATCATATATGGATGTTAAACAGATATGACCATCTATATTTTCAAATCCATCAAGAATGTAAACATTTCCATACCTTTTATCTGGGAGGATTATTTTTGCTCATCTTCAATAGCACAACCTGTTTTCTTGAATTTTACCTCATACCCTAAGTCGCATAGCTGACTTATACTCAGAAGATTGTAGTTAAGTCCATCAACGAGATAAGCCTCAGTGATATCGCAGTTGTTATTGAAGGGAACTGTTCCGGTACCGACTATTTTTCCTTTTGAATCATCGCCAAACTTAAAGCTTCCTCCATCTATTTTTGTAGCTTCCTTAAACAGGTTTTTATCACCTGTCATGTGGCTGGAACACGCACTATCTAAGTACTATTTTTCTTTGCGACTTCTCCTGAGGTGTTCCTATAAAACACAGTGATTACTTTCTTTTAGGTACCCAAGTTTGCTTGGGTCCTGGTTGGTTAGTATTACTAGGTTCAAACTTATTTTTGGGTTTCCAAATCTATCCTGAAATATTTGATTTACGAAATCGACAAAAGGAATATCTACGTCCACTTTTGTTGCAGTAGTGACACGTAACTCCTGATCCATTTTTGGATATTTTATTAGTGTTAGTACTAGTGGACTCTGTTCTGGCTGGTCCTTCTCCATTTGATTTGTAAGTCGCCTGGTTTGACCTGACAGAACTATGACTAGTGGATTTGCGCATGCCATTGAGTTGCATTTGCAATTCCTCAAACTCTTCTTGAAGTAGTTCTTTTTCGATTTCACATACTTCATGCTTGAGTTTCCAGTCTTTTACTTCTTTGTTGAGTCTCTTTAGTTCATTCATCATTTTTTGAGACTCTTTATTTATAAGACCTTACCTCGCTTGTTTCACCTCGCGCCATGAAACAGTTCTCATTATCATCTTTGCATTCATCGTCTGAGGTGTCCTCATCTGTCCAGCATCCTGAAAGTTTGTTCATGTCGTTTTCCAAAAATGTCATGAAGCAAAGATTTGCTATTTCTTCGTGTTCTGAACTGTCTTCATCACTCCAGCTTCCAAATGATTTGTTCTTGTTGAAACCTCTGGAAATTTTTCTTTTTAGATCTGGACACTCAGCTTGAATATGTCCAAATCTTCCACACTCATAGCATTTTGCATCATTTTTATCTTGTTTGTTATATTGCTTGGATCGCCTAGATGGAATCCTTCCTCTTCGCATTCCTGAATCTTCTCATTAAACCATCCATGTTTCTTGACACCATGGCAATTTCTTCTTGAAGAGCTTCAGGATCATCATCGATATCGTTTTCAGCTATTTCTGTTGTGGCCTTGAATGTAACTATTTTCTTCTTGGTTTGTTTTCTTGAGATGTGTTTTCTCGAAAGCTATGAGTTCTCCTCGAAGTTCATCATATGATAGCTTATTCAGATCCTGTGATTCAAGTGTGACTACTTTGATCTGGCAAGTAGTGGGTAGGCTTCTAAGAATCTTTCTAACTTGATCACCACTTGAGTATGGTTTGCCAAAAGCCTTTAGATCGCTAATAATTTTGCTGACTCTGGCAAACATTTCTTCAATGGATTCTCCTTCTTTCATCTGAAAGAGTTCATAATCATGAACCAACATGTTGATATGTGTTTCCTTTACTTTAGTGGTTCCTTCGTATGTAACTTCAAGCTTATCCCACATTTCTTTGGTTGTATCACAACTGGAGATTTTCTCATACCCTTTACCACTTATAGCATTGTAAAGCAAATTTCTTGCCTTATTGTTGACTTGTACACCATTTGCTCATCTGTATATGAATCTATATCTTCGGGATCAGTAAGTGGTTGAGCGACAGCCAACAGGGGATAGTTCCCCTTTTTGATAACTCTCCAGACTTTAACATCATAAGGCTTTGAGTATGTTTCCATACGCACTTTCCAGTGAGAGAAATATTGTCCATTGAAGTATGGTGGCCTTACATGCGAAGTTCCTTCTTGGAAGAGTGCTCCTATAATAACTTGATTTGTCATGATCTTTTCTCACAAACTGTTAAGCAAAAGAAAAATGTGAGCCTTGCTCTGATACTAATTGAAAGTACAAGAGGGGGGTGAAATGTTTATTTTTAAAATTAATCGCTACCAGTTGACTAGTTTTCTAATTAGTTGACTAGATATAATTACTTGATAACAGGAAGGGCAAAATTTAAGATGCAGAAATTAAATGCAGGATTAAAGATACCGGAATTTTTATAGTGGTTCGGATTCAATATGAATCCTAGTCCAGTCCCCTTAGGTTGCAAGGGAGTTCTCTTTCAGTTAATGAGTTTCTCGAGTACACAGTGAATGGTGTGATCTACACCGATAGCTCAGTTCCTATATCACTCGTTTCTCTTTGATACAATGTCTCACCAGTGTTGTTCTCTCTTTCTTCTCTAACTTGTTACACAGCAGATCTAGTAGAGCTACAATGTTTGTTTGTAGTAGAACAAAGAGAGGGTATTTGGTTCGATCAAAGTATATGTGCTATGGTACAGATACAAGTTTAAATACTATGAGAGAGGCTTGATTTCTGAAGAGATTTGCCAACCCAAGAGATTTGATCCTTGGAAAAAAATTGATTCTTTCCAAGAATAAGGTTATTCAGCAATGGCTTTGTCTTGACGAGAGGCTTTAATGACTTCCCTTATATGTGACTTGATGGCGCCGGATATCCTTCCTTGAATCTTGATCCTTCCAGATTTAGTATACTTGATTGATTATCTTGCACGATCTTCGATACTCTTGATTGATTTGATTCCTTCAGTATAGCCTTAATTGATTTCGTCGGTATTGGACGCTATCATTGATTCCTTTAATCTTGGATGCTTTCCTTGATTTTCTCTGATTGATTCCTTCAATCTTGAATGCTATCCATGAGTACCTATACAAAGAACAAATATATTATTTTCATCATTAAAATCAGATCTAACAACTATTGCTCACTCTCTCTGCTTCAATTTGTTTGAAGTACGGGGTTCAGATTAATTCAAACATAAATAAGTTAAATGTTTTGAAATAAAATTTATATATTTAGTAACTACATAAAAAGTATTATAAGTCACAGTAATAATAAGTTAGCAAAATTCGAGTGCTACAAAATGGTTATGAGCAGGGGCGGGCACTTATATTTTACTAATTTTGTTACACATGCTCAGGTGAGTACTTTGGCTTGATGGTCAATGAGTGCACCTTTTCCCCTAAAGTTAAGGGTTTGATCCCTGCTTGCTCCCTAGGCTTTTTAATTAAAAATGCTTTCTGTTTAGTTTAAGAAGGCAATGCCTGCCATAGTATATTTACAAAAAGCAAACCCGTTAAGGAAGTGTATTTGTTGAAAAGAAAACCTTGCAGCAGCACCAAAAGAAAAGGTATAAGGTAGTGAACCGAAGTGGTTGTAGGCTACATCCAAAAGAAATTCAAATTACGGGTTGTAAATTTTCTAGTTGTTTACCTCGAAAAATGTGAGTAACAAATAAAGGTGATTTGTAATTTTAAAGATATGTGATTTATTTTAATACTAGTGAATATACAAGTAATATCAGGATTAAGTAAGAAGAATTGACGAACCAAACCAGTGTTGTTAGAGCAATGGGGACCTCAAGCTCGGTTGTCTCGAGAGCCTCGAGGTGAGTTAAGACCTAATAAAGTATGAACAGTAAAGTAAAAACAACAAAGCTGAAGAACAATGGTAGAGCACAGTAAACGAGAAAAGCAGAGTAGAATATTCTATTGCAGAGAAAAATGAGATGATGTTTACAAATGATTTGGGGTCCCCTTTATATAGGAGGGGAAAACCCCAATATGGTGCATTCCCAATTATGGTAATGAATTCTATTGGTACAGCTGTATAACAACCTAGTACGAACTCGTACTATTTCGTACAAATCTTATCCTATAATTTATACCCTAACCCACGTGTCCTTGAGAAATTCTCGCTCTTTCTTGAGTGTCATCGAAATTGTACTGCCCTCGAGGTAGATCATGATGGGTCTCCGATTTGCTCCCTCGAGGTGTGCATTTTCCAGTCAGATCTGGTCTTTACTTCGTGCTGCCTGAACTCAAGCCCGAGGTACCTTTAAGCCGTTGAAATCGAGCTCTCCGATTTCGACCATATAGACTAGTCATAAGAGTTGCGGATTTGGCAACAATCCACAAAGCAAAGTATGTTTACAAAAGGCAAACCCGTATGAATTTTCGATCATGGCCAATCCATATAAGCAATTTGCCAGTGAAGAACCACAAATGAGTTGAAACTAGGCCATACATGAGTTGAATGAAGCGTGAGATACACGACCTACTCGATCATTATTTGAAGGAAAATCCTAGAAACCTCTTTGTAGATTTATTTGTGTTAAACTAACCTCTCTTATGGTCTGAATTCTGAAATACTCTTTACATCCTTAATTTCTTTTCTGCAAGTCCATTTCTATTTAATTAAAAAGTTCATTCTCTTGGTCTTTATGAACAAATTCTCAAGAACACAAAAATACTATAGTAAAAGACACTTCACTCACTCGGAGATCTTTATCAAAACCTTTGCAAGTCAATGCTAATTACCAGAACTGTCTTAAAAAGAACAACATGTGGCCAATTGTAATATTATAACTCCCTCTTCTGTCAAGCCAAATTAAGCTACGTCTTATTGTTCCATTGGAAAGATCATCGGTGTGTTCTCGTGCATCGTTTGAGTCATTCAATATTCTGCTGAAAGTTTTCCATCAAACAACCTTTCTCTTACTTCCTTAGCCTGTAATGTTAACACAAAGAAAAATTCAGAATTTTCGTAAATTCCTGACCAAAAAAAGACTACATCTCCAGAACAACATCAAATAATTTGTTCAATCACTAAAGCCAAAAAAAGGTTCTTTTCTTTTTAACTACAGGAGGATAAACATAGATGATAGACATAACAAACCAAACAAATAACATTTTTTTTTATTTTTTGACAGTTTTCATATGTGTATTTTGGGTTACATAGGTTTGCCAAATTGATCCAAGCTATTGCATAGTTCAATTTAGCCACAATCCAGGTTGACCTATATCCATTAATAAATTCGTAACACAACCCGTCCAGATCCGGGCATCGCCAATGAAACAAAGTTGTAATAGCTACCTGTTTTTCCCAATCTGTGAAAGCAGTGATAAAGGAAAGCAGAATTGTTTGCACTGTGGATCCTATGAGTAATCCACTCCACAGGCCTTTCTCTTTCCAATTCAAAGAGAATCCCATCAATAAAGAAGCTGGAATTCCAACCAAGTAATAGGCTCCTAAATTCACATAGGCTCCTATATGTTGCCATCCACTTCCTGTTGCTACTCCTGATGCAGGGAATTTAAAGCATATTTTAAAAAAAAAAAAATGTTTTAATATATGCTCACCAAGTCAAATTAAGTTTGATGAAAATAATAACCTGATAATACTGTTTGTATGCTATCCATGACGATAGAGATGCAGAGAAGAGGAGTTAGTTCTTTGATAAGAGTGATGACTTCTTTTTCATTTGTGAAAGCATATCCCCATACATTACGCAAGCAAAACAGAATTCCACTTGCTATCAGGAATTCTGCAGTTGCTAGAATGAAGACTGCAAAGATGGAAACTCTAGCTGCTTTTGGATTTCCAGCTCCTAATTCGTTTGAAATCCGAGTGATACAAAATGGTTATGAGTTATTTTAAGAATGTCATATTATACCCATACTAATCGTTACACCAAAAAAGTCATTGTTAGGAAGTATATATGTTGAAGAGATAACCTTGCAGCAGCACCAAAAGAAAAGGGAAAATGGAAATGTATTTGAGAGTTTGTAAGGCTGCACCAGAAGAAATTTAAACAATAGTGTAAGTTATGAGCTTCTAAATTTTCTAGTTATATGAAAGAGTAAATGGTTCCATGATTTTGCGTACCAAATAGATAGGACAGAAGTCTCTAGCTGTGGATTTGGCAGCCAACCACTGAGCAATGTAATCAGCTCAACTGCCCACCATCTCAAACTATATAAAGAAGATGTAAAACTACTTAATAAATCAGACCTTAGATCAAAGCGAAGATAAAAGTTAACAGTTAAATTACCAAACCATTCCAGCAGATGGAATAGCAAATTGGAAGAACTCTGGCAAAACAAGGAATACATCCTTCGAGAAATAGGGACGTGTCTTTTGACATGCTGTCGAATACTTTAAGTAAATCACAAGTAAAATTACGTTCAACCAATATGATGAACCAATCGCAATAGCTGCACCACTGGCCCCTAACTCAAATTTGAATATTAAAGCCCAACTGAGTGGTACGTTAAAGCATAGAGACGCTGCTGACGTCCATACCATTGGAAGTATCAAACTCTGAGTCTGAAAGTAGCAAACAAGTGACTGAAGAATAGCATAGGGAAAGAGAGTTAAGATGAGACAAATCGAATATTTTCCAGCTTCAACAGAGATTGAAGGGTCTTGGCCAATCCATAAAAGCAATTTGCCAGTGAAGATCCATAGAAGAGAAACTGGCACGCACGCGAATAAAAGAAATATAGTGGCAGCACAAGTAATAGTTCCGACTTTCTTATACTGCCGTGCTCCATAGGCCTGCCCACATAAAGTTTCCAATCCAGCTGCCATTCCATACTGCACGCAAGATTCAGATTCAAATAGCTTTAGTACCTCTGGCAATCTCGAGATAAATAAGTGATAAAATACATTCACGTGGAGAAAGTACAAGTCTGTCTAAACAGAAATTACAGGGTATGCGAACAAAGTCCAACATTGGTAGCCGAAAAAATTGTAAGTCTACATACAAGGTGTATGAATCTCTTAATGGTTTGTGGTCTTTTAGGAAAAACCGTGCGAGCTTGTCCCAAAGCAGATAATATTACACTATCAAAATAGTATCTTTAGGCTGGTTGAGTCAGCAGACATTAATTATACAAACTGACTATTAGTGTACGTAGTTTAATCGGTTGTTATCATATGTAGGAAGAGTAGAAAATTTATGGAAGGAGGAGCTTACAATGAGAGCGAAGCCAGTGACATTGCAATAAGATGTGGCAATGGAGGCACTAGAGAGGGAGAGTTCACTTAGATGACCCAACATAACCATTGGCGCGTAGCGCAACAGGAACTGCGACACCTTCACCACTATCATTGGAATCGCAATGCGACTTACCTCTTTTAGCTCTTCTTTAAACACCACCCTTTTGCTGATATCGTCATTCAATGTCAGCAAAGGATTTTCCATTTCCTGGAACAACAACTTCCTTTTCGATATGTGATCGATAGTTCTCACTTCTCACGACTATTATATAAGCTTTCTTTTGGGAATATTAACAAGGTGACCTCAGAAAGGATTTAAAAATTGTCGATTAGATTGATCAGCCTAAATTTAGGATCTTTTATAAGTTTCATCTTTCTCGTGGAACAATTTTTAATCCCAACTGTGCAGAATTTAGAGCTGACTTCTGGAAAATTTTAAATTAGCGACCACGCAGAATGAATCACGGATAGAGTTTTCTATTCGATATTTATTTGATTAAGTCCTATTGTTGAATGAATTAACATGAGATACCTGATAAGAAACTTTACACTCGTTTGATTTTTTATTCGATTTTTATTTAATTAAGCCCTACGATGTGTAAATACTCCTACGAGATACCTTAGAAGAAATAAGTTCGAGTTCTACTATAGTATATATTTCAAGCGACATCGTCGTCGCAAAAGTCGAGTAGTCCTTCATACCGTTTTCATTGAACTCCATAAGTCCGTTTGTGGAATCCGAGAATTAAATAAAGGGGGTATCAAACTAATTCTGCACTAATAAGATTTTTATCGTCCACTTCATTCAAAAACAAAACTTGAATTTTTATAGAATCAAATTTGAATTTTTTTTGAATTTTGATCGTTTTTTAAATTCTGTTGTATCATATCAAATCTATTTTGATTTTAAATCGAACTATTACCTTTTAAAACTAAAAATGCTTTTTTTATTACTTAATTTAGGCTTGACTCATTAGATTCAGTAATATATTATTTCTCATATATCTTGAATGATTGGAAAAAAAAAGAAAAAGTTATCAAATAACGCACTGACATGCGTACTCCCTCCATTTTTAGTTTGAAAACATTGCTTCTGATAAGTTATGTGCCTTTTTATATTTTGATGATCTAAGATAAGAACCAGATTGGGAACTTGTTACACATCCTCAAAGTGCTCAAGAACAACAAGTCTCAAGTCGGGCACAAGTTCCAACAACTAGAGTCAAAGAGACAACAGAGGAAATGGATGGACATCAGTTCCCTTGCTGATTGTACCAGTCAACTCCCCACAGCTGTAAAGACGTTGCAACTATTCCTCTACACACACACAACAACGCAAACAGTGCAAACAGTGCAGCAGTCACTTTATGGGGAATGCCTTGTACTGGATAATTGCTTGCATCATCCAAGTGACATCACTTGTATATTATCAACATGAAACAAAGGAAAAACACACACTTGCACATCCGAAAATTGATTAAGTTTTCTCTCAAGTGTGTTGCCATCTTGCAAGTGATATTCAAGGCTTCAAGAACAAAGAACAATAGAACAAAGGACTAGTTTCCAGCACTGTGTTACCATATGTCCTTAGTTGTGTTGTAACTTCGTTAGAGCGATCTACTTGTAATTCCTACTTAGCTTAGCTAGAAGTATTGTGTAGGAAACCATTTGTAAAACCATAAACCTTATGTTTGTGTCTTAGCTAAAGTTAGTCAAGTTGTAAGCTTTGTAATAGAGTTATTACAAAGAGGCTTGTAATAGAGTTGTTGATGTTGGCAATGAAGAGGTGAATGAGGAACCTGCTTCCTTAATTCGTCAGTCCTCTAAGAAACCTGTAGTTCCAAAACCCAGGAGAGAGCCATCTGTGAAAACTGTGGAAGTGAAAAATGTTGAGGGAGAGAAGTCTGGTGAAAAATTGTCTAAGAAGTCTGCAAAGAAAGAGAAAAGTGTGAGAAATTCTGCGAAGCGGAAGGCTGGTGACAACGAGGAACCTGGTTCCTCCAAGAAGGTCAAAGTGAGTGTGTCTAAGGATGAAGACAGAGAAAACCTTAGAAAACAAAGAGTGCTATGGGGCAGAACATTTGCTCGTGATATTCTTGACATGACAGGGATGCGTCAATTGGTTGATATTTGTGAGTTTCAAAAGTGGACACACTTGTTCACCAATGAGAGCCCCAAGGTATATGAGGAAGAGGTGCGTAGCTTCTACGTAGACATATTCACAGTGGAAGATGACAACATCTGCTTGAAGGTCAACGGAGTAGATTTTGTGATGGACGAGGCTGTGTTAGGGAACATTTTGCGAGCGCCTACTGAAGGGATCTCATCCATTGAGAGGACTTGTTCTCCCAATTTTAGAAGTGCCATTCTGAAGGATGATGTTGTGTAGTAAGGGGAACAGGTACACAAGAAGACCTCCCTTCCAGTGTATCAACTTCTGTTTGAGATGGTGAACAGGGTTTTGCTTCCACGTGCAGAAAGCCGTTCCATTACATCAAAAGCAGACACATTCCTCAGGTAAGCACTGGATGCCTACACCACTATCAATCTGCCTGGTCTTATGATAAAGCATATGAAGAAAGTAGCAGACTTTAAGGATGGGAATCATGGTTTGCCCTACGGGTTCTTGCTCACCAAGGTGTTTAACTTCTTCAAAGTCTCTTTGGGAAAAGCAACAGTGGGAACTTGCAAGTAGACCTTCTCAAAGACCACCTTGGAAGAATGTGCGTGTTTTGATAAGAAAGAAGGTGTTGGCAATAATTCCACTATCTCTCAATTGATTGATGCTCAGAATGTTGCGAATGAGGAGATAAGGAAGTTGAAGGCACGGAATGCCATTCTTGAAGGGTAGCTTAGTCAGGCCCAGGAGGCACCTGGTTCCAACAGTGCACAAGGCACAGAGGATGCTCGCCTGACCAAGGAAAATGCAGATCTCAGGAAACAGGTCGAGGACCTAAAGGAGCGACTGCTTAACGAACAAGTGTTTGCAAATGCTCGAATGGATATTCTCCTTAGAACCCTTGCTTCCTCATCCCTGCCTCCTTCTTCTAGTGCTCCTTAAAACAGTCCCCTTCCCAGTGTCCAATTCAATGCTGTCTATCCTACCTTGGTCCCTTTTTGTTGTTTTTGTGGCTGGTACTTTTAAGTTTTTTTTTTTTTGTGAATGGTTGTGTAACAATGGTACTACTATTTATATTCTCTTTTCTTTCAAATTAATGAGCATCTCGTCTTTTTGCTATGCATGTTGTACTCTTATGCTCTATTTTTAGTCATGCTTGTATGCACACATGTGACATGAGTTAACCATGTTGGACTTCTTTTTTCTTATTACTTGTGTATAATCTTTTTATGATGCCAAATGGGGGAAGAAAATTGAGAAGGGGGAACAGGTTCTCAGGGGGAATACAGGAAATACTTTATGGTGATCTGGTTCTCAAGGGGAATTTCAATTTTAAGTTTGTCATCATCAAAAAGGGGGAAATTTATAAGTTATGTGCATTTTTATATTTTGATGATCTAACAAACTTTATGATAAGAACCAGATCGGGAACCTGTTACACATTCTCAAAGTGCTCAAGAACAACAAGTCTCAAGTCGGGCACAAGTTCCAACAACTAGAGTCAAAGAGACGACGGAGGGAACAAATGGACATCAGTTTCCTTGCTGACTGTACCAGTCAACTTCCCACAGCTATAAAGTCGCTGCAATTGTTCCTCTACACACACGCAACACTGCAAATAGTGCAGCAGTCACTTTATGGGTAATGCCTTGTGCCGGAATTGCTTGCATCGTCCAAGTGACATCACTTGTATATTATCAACATGAAGCAAAGGAAAAACACACACTTGCACGTCTGAAAATTGATTAAGTTTTCTCTCAAGTGTGCTACCATCTTGCAAGTGATATTCAAGGCTTCAAGAATAAAGAACAATAGAACAAAGGACCAGTTTCCAGCACTGTGTTACCATATGTCCTTAGTTATGTTGTAACTTTATTAGAGTGATTTACTTATAATTCCTACTTCGCCTAGCTAGAAGCATTGTGTAGGAAACCATTTGTAAAACCATAAACCTTGTGTTTGTGTCTTGGCTAGAGTTAGTCGAGTTGTGAGCTTTGTAATACAGTTATTACAAAGAGGTTTGTAATAGAGTTGTTACAAGTGAGTGAGGGATTAAGAGTTTAATTCCTAGGTTACAATAGTTTGTAATCTGAAGTTTGCTCAGTAGTGAAGTTAAAATCCTACGAGTGTAGGTCGTGATTTTTAATCCCGTGAGCTGGGAATTTTCCACGTAAAACTCTACTGTGTTATTTACTTTATCTCTTATTGTGTGTGTTCTATGGGAACTGATAGAAAACCTGGTTCTCTATGCAGTTTGGTGGACTTTAAGTTTCCATCTGCTTCGTTTATCAAACAGAAACAAACTCCATCAGAGCATTTTCCTTGATGGGCTGAATTGTATATCGTTATTTCACGAATGCTCCATTTTGTTTTCAAGTGTCAATATTGATCAGCTTTACCTTCAAGAAACAACACTCTTTTAAATTGCCATATTAACGAAATAGTAGATAAAACAAATTTCCTCCACCTCTGAATCCAAACAATTCGATTGGTATAAAGAATTCCCCGAAGATAACATTTTCAATGATTTTCAAATTTTAAAATACTTTAGAACTATACTACTATCATCAAAAACAATTTTATTAGTCAATGTACTTTTCTATATATAATAATAGTTTTTAAAATAATTAGAGCAAGAAATATCTGAGACATTAAAACGTTAAAAGATAATTCACACTTGATTAATTACTTAAAAGGTAAAATTTCGTAGTGCCAATAATAGAAGCATCAAAATGAAAATTAAGCTATAAACAAACTTTTGAGACGTTGATGAAAAAGAATAAATTGCATAGAACATAGTGAGAAGAAAAAGTTCAAGAAAACTAAAGAAAATTATAAAGCTACGACATGCATCCAATTATAAAATAGTATCGGCTAATTGGAATATTTCAAATTTTTATCTTAAAGGATATGGTACTGGATTCAGGACCCTGTTTAGGAGCCCCATTAAAATTCAGCCTGCGGTGGAAGACACTAATCGTAGAAGATCAACAAAATATTTTAGTGTACATGGAGAGAGTGACTTTGTTTCTTTCGCCAAATCTAGTTACTTTAAATCTAGATTAAGATTTCAGACACCCCAATGG